ATTGGGAGTGATTTGAGTTCTTTAAGAGGAAGTGAATTATCTGTTCCAGGGGCTAGTAGTTCCCTTTGGGATGGTGCTGTGGTGGATGGACATATTAGTCAAACAGAACATCTTACTGGTTTGGATATGCATCTTTTGTATGATATGGATGCACAAGTCATCCTTCCAAATGATCAAAAACAGAAGTTGACTAGACTTTTGATCACAATGCAACGAAGAATAGGGACAGCAAAAACTGATATGGAGGATCTCATAGCACGACTAAATCAGGAAGCAGCTGTTAAAGAATATCTTACTACAAAGGTATTTCTTTGCTTTTCATGTTAATGACTATGGCATCTAGCTCTACTTAGTAATTACAGGTTCATGCTTAATAAAAACAAAATGCACTTTCAATTTCCATGTTGTTTTTAAGATTGTATGGTTCTCCAAGTTACTTTGTTTTGTTGTTTTGTGCATTCTTAGTTGTACACTCAATGGATTTGCGTGTATCATTACCATTCTGTGGATTCTAGGCTCTGTTTGATAATTATGATTTGTAATGTAGGTTAAAGATTTGGAGGTTGAATTGGAAGCCACAAAGCAAAAAGGTAGAGAGACACTACAACAAGCTATCCAGGCTGAAAGAGAGAGGATTACCCAGATGCAGTGGGATATGGATGAGCTCCGTAGGAAGTACTCTGAGATGGAGTCAAACCTGAAGACTGAACAAGTCTGTTTTTCCCACTGTTGTTGTGGCTTAGTTATTTTACTAGCCATATGAAGGTACTGATTATGTCTCTTTATAATTTGCAGAATGAGAAAACTCGTGCGGAGTCAGAGAAAACAACTGCTAGTGGTGAAAATGAAACATTACTTGAAGAATTAGAAATTAAACAAAAAGAAGTCGAGAGTTTGAAACAACGTCTTGTAGAAGCTGAGGCAAAGTCTAAAGCAGATAAGAAAGTTCTTGTCAAAGAGGTCAAGTCTCTTAGAAACTCCCAAACAGAGATGAAGAAAGTGTTGAATCAGTATCTTGAGGAGAAGACTGATTTAGAGGTATAGTGATACCTAATGCCTATCAAATTATAATGCCCTGTTCCTTACATAGCTGTAGCTGTAGCAGTATCTGTTGTTTCTAGGAATACTTGTTTGCTCTTACAACCTGGCAGCATATTCAACATTATTAGTGGCTTGCTAGACCAATTTGGCTAAGTGCTCTTCCTGTTGCTTTTGTATCCTTCATTCATGCCACCTACCCTTGGACTTTAGCTTAAAATCCTACTGAACTGTTGCTATGTTCAACTTTGTGACCTTTTGAAACTGTTACATCCGCAAGACTTTTGTGATGATGCAAGACATCCTGGCCTTTTACCTTTCCATGACCCTTATGATTCATCCAACCGGCATTCTATTTGGGAAGACTATCATAAAACATTATGCTTTCTAGCTGATAAGATGCTCTAGCATTAAAGAATGTGATTATTATCTTAAACAACAACAGCGTGTTTGGCTGCTCAGGTTCCAGCTTGTTTCAGCTTGTTTCAGCTTATTCTCCCTCACAGAACACTATTGAATCATCCGAAATAATCCAAAATCTACTGTTCAACGGATCAGCCGAACGCGCTGAAACACATGAGCTATTGGTTTTGTGTCAACATCTCCATGTGTTTTGTTTTGTCAAACTTGGATGAATAAAGTTCCTTCTATGAAGCCAGGAAGAGCAATAAGACTGATTTGTACCTAAGATCATCAAGCACACAATCAAATTTTTTTTAATATTTCCATATCTCTTGTCTAACTTGGATGGATAAAGCTTGATCTGTTTATGCAAGCTATGATTTTGGGAATTAGGATTTAGTGCTGCTCCTTCAATTAACTGCATGAGCTAGCCTGGAGAAAGGGGAAGAGTCTTTTTATGCATGCTAACATATTCAAATCAATTAATCACTTATGATTTTATTTTCACTCTTCGTAAATCCATGCTTCTGTCTGTGCACTCAAAATGTCTGTACTCCGTAATTCGAATTCTATGCAATCAGTTTATTTTCCTGATTTTTAATGTTTTTTTTTTTTCAGAGAGTTATTAATAGAGAGAAACAGAGGTCAGCACGTACAAAGTTATCCCGAGTGAAAATTCTTCACGAGTGCCGACTGCTGCGGGAGCGTCTACAGGAATGCAGTGCTAAATTTCTAGCAGAAGAACAAGATAACTTTACTATTGATCCATCATCCTTGCCTGATGCATTAGATCTTCTAGCAACATCAGACAATAGAATACGCCTACTCGTTGCCGAGGTAAACTTGAAATGTGATGGTAAATTAATATCATTTTTTTTTTCCAACGGGCCTGCTTGGCCAAACTCTAGTTTTTATATTCTTAGAGGGCAGCCAAAGTTACATGGTACAGCTCCAACTCTAATAAATTTGGAGTTTGAGCAGTTGAGTTGTTTTGGAAACAAGTGCTTCTTTCATTTCTTGGAAATACAAAAAAGAAGTGTCCTATGGATAATTTAGAATGCTATTCAAGATCATGAGATTTGTAATGTTGGTTTATCCTAACACAGAATACTACCTCCGGTTGTTAATACTTGATGCTCCAACAGCATGTTAATACCTGCAGCTAGCTCATTATCCTAGTCAGGAAGATCAACTATTCCTGACTGGGGGGAGTATTATCTAGTTCAGTTTTTTTTGTCAATTTGAAGATCACTTGAATTTCCCTACTTTTGCATTAGAAGGCCCTGAACTCCTCTTCTCAATTTATCATTTTTATCTTGGATCTGAAGCTGGAGCAGCCTTTGTAATAATATCATTATTTCAGCATTCTCTTCTTGAACCTAGACTGTTTTTAGTGTTCTAAGGGAAGTTGGAGAAAACTACCCTATCAAGGTCCCAACTTTAGAATTATTAAGGCGAATGACAAGTTTATGGCACTTAGTTCTGTAACCAGGCTTGCACATCGTGTTGGTAGCTCCTGTTTAGAATTATTCCCTCCTATGAATCCCTTCTTTGTAGAAGTAGGGACAGACTTTTTTTTTTTTGGGTTCAGCTAGAGTTTGGAGTTTGAGCCATATATTATTTTACCTTGGTAGTTACAGTGCATAATATTGTTCACACTGGAATGCAATTTTCATGGATGTACACTCCACTTCAGTTTTAAATATACTTTATATTAATTCTACTAATTTTAAATGTGGATATCTCTACTAATAAATTTATGCTCTGCATTGCTCTCTCCAGGCTCAACTTCTAGCACGAGATGATGAACAAGGCTCTTCTGATGATGGCGACAATTCTGATAGTAGATCCTCATTAACTATGAGCAGTGAAGATACAAAAGCTACTGATGAAGATACAACAAAAATGCTTTCTGATCTGCTCATTGACAATGCGCAGCTGAGGCTACGCCTCAATGCTGTCATCCGCAACGCTGTAAATACTGCCGTGAAGCCAGAGAAAGAAGGTAGTGGCGAGGTTCTCCCCAAAAAGACAGTCCTTAACTGGTTGTTAGACAGATGAAAAACACCGATGTATATTCCTGTGTATTAGATCTTCAGACTTATGCGGCTTGATCAAAATTATATGATGAGCATACCTATAGTGCCAGAGAAGCATCAGGATAAACATTCCCTCCATGAGGGAAGGAGAGCCTGGAAGCGTGCGTGTGTTGCTGTTGCACTGTTCATTTATACATGGAAGTCCGGAGGATAGTAATATTTAGTGGGGTTGTCACATTGCATTACAGTGGCGAGGGCAGTCAAAGCTTTGCTAAGCTGTGGAGCAGCTCGCAATTGGGGTTAGACTGATGGAGAACACAATAGCCTAGCCCCCGGTTTTGCACCATATATATATATATATATATGTAATTAAAAAAACCTGGTGGGATACCTATATGTAGAGATTTTACTGGCGCTCAGCCGGTGAATCTCTAGCATGACTGTACACAGTGAAATCACTCTAGACCAATCTTCTTCCATGGACAGTTAAAATGCCAATTCGATTTTTTTTTTTTTTGTTTTAAGTAGTGTTCCACATTTCAGAAATGAGTGCTCGACCTTTCAAAAAAGCGTGTTCTTGTCCTGGAGTATTCCACTGTCATGGCCTCGTCTGGGAAAGGTGAAAATTCCAGATTCCTGTGAAATTCTTTCTGTATATTTTCATTGAAATTCTTGCGTCCATAGCTCGAAGATCCATTTGGGACGTCAAGTCCTCTTATTGCGTATGTCACGGTGTATCCTCAACGTCAGCGGTTGTGGCATAACAGAGCGTGGTCGGCTGGTCGCTACCAGGAAGATAAAGTCGTTCATTCGTATCTTTATCCGTGGTCCTTGAAACAAATCATGCAGAAATTGACATGGATCACAGAATCATATAGCTTGATGAGCCAAATGGCCTGATTTTGGCGAGGAAGGCACTCTCTATATGAATATGAACATCACAATTTTCCAGACCATTTTTACAGGTCACAGATTTATTTTCACGAAAAAGCACGCGAGTGGGACCGCCGGTAGTAAGGCAAAAAGTCCAAGCCGGGCCCACCTGTCGGCCAAACAGCGCGCAGCAAAAGCAGCGATCGGTGTGGACGCACTCACGTTCCACCGCCGAAAAAGGACGCGCACATCACACGCAGCGAGACGCCAACGGCAATACGAAAAAATCCAACGTTAACGAGAGGGGGGAGAATGCAAAGTGCGAGATAAATACCCCTGCGACTGCGAGCACGAAGGCGTCAGGAACCCAACAACCCAACCCATCAGCCCGTCGGGAACCGGACCAGACCAATCAGGACCCGTCAGCACCGGCGCGGCGGCGACCAGGGCGCGGAGGCCGGAGGTTTGGGGGACCGGGACCGGGACCGGCGGTCGAGGCCCAGCTGCTGCGGATCGCGTGGGGGAGGGTGAGAGGCGGCTGTCTGCCGGATGTCCCGCGGCGGCGGGGAGTAGGGCGACGGCGGCAGCGGGGATCGGCTGCGGCGGCGCGACGAGGCGGCGGCGGCGGCGCGGGAGGGCGGCGGCACCATGTCTGCGGTAGTCTGTGGCAAGAGGTCCTCCATCTTCGCCGACGAGCTCCTCCCGCCGTCCCCTCCCTCCCCTCACTCCTCCCACCAGCCGGCGGCCAAGCGGTCCCGCCGCTCCCCCTCGCACCGCGGCGGCTCCGACGGACGCCGACGGGAGGCGCTCGTCCACCATCTACTTGCGCTCTTCCCCGACATGGATCCCCAGGTCTGCCTCCACCGCCGCCTCACTTTATCCTTCCACCCCCTCCCATTTTCCCGATTTACTAGTGGGACCATTTTTGGTGGTAAGCCGACGAGGATTTGTTGTTTCTTTGTCAGTAAACTTGTGATGCCGGCGACCTTGTAATTTCCGATCTGACCTTGGGTGTGAAATCGGACATTATGGCGCCTAGGTGCTGAAATGGGGCTCCTTTTGTTCAATTAGTTTCATTTACTTCCACACTTGATATGAATCACACTTGATATGAATCTAGGCCTTAAGACTCTCAGTTGTCATTGTATTATCCTATACCATGCTTATATGCTTGCTTAGATGTTTGTGGTACTGTGAATGTTGAATTGTATTGTAGCATGGACTACCTCTTTTACATTTGATTTGATTTTGAACATATTGGCACTGGAAATGGTTTGTTTCATAGGATTTCATTTACTGTTAACCTGCATCTGTTTTATTAACTATGCAAAGGATGATCGACCAGAGATGGATGTGCTGTAGTTTCTGTGGCTCCTTTCTTTGGTAGCTATGCAAGTTGTGTATTGTAGCCAGTCTGAGCCTGTGATGTCCCCAGTAAGTAGACAATGAATTTATTCAATATATACATGATTTCCTTCATAGATGGAAATTTGCCCTCCTGCTGGATCCTGATAGATTGAATTACTTCTATGCAGTATGAGCTAGTTCTTTTTTGTACTGAATTTATACTTTACCTTCGAGTATTACATATGCAACACACCTGACTATGCTTGTTCTAATTCTAAATAATTGTAGTTGCTTGAAAAAGCTCTGGAAGCATCTGGAGACGACTTGGATTCTGCAATAAAGAGTTTGAATTTGCTGCGCTTAGAGTCACAAGAGGCTATCTTGTCATCAACTGGTTTCCAACCTGAAAATGGTCAGCATACAGAAATTCAGCCTTCCGTTGAAGGTTAGTTTTCTACCAGAGACTACTGTTTTCCCATTCATATAGCAACAGTTGTACATCCTCATCCATGTAGTTCTGTTACTTAATAATAGTCACCTGCAAATGATTCAATGGGAGTGGTTCTCGCCTTCTCGGTACCCCAACTGAATGTTTCCTCCAATTTTATTCAGAACTATAGTATCAGGTGCAAACCAACCAACCTGTGTAAACTTAGAAACTACCAATTAGAACCACTAAATGTTGATCCAATGGATGGGGTGAGAGGTGGGATTTTTTTACACTTAAGCCCCCCACCCCCTGGCCTTTTTTTTTTGCGCTTAAGCCCCCTCACCCCATCCATTGGATCAGCATCTAGTGGTCCTGATTGATAGTTTCCAAGTTTGCACAGGTTGATTGGTTTACATCTGATATGGTGCCTTCTTTAATTCATAAATTTGTTACTGTCATATATCTAGTCCATCAAATGCTGTTCAATTTCAACACATGTTTGTATCCGATTTTGTTGTTGTTGTTGTTTGTCTCCGATTTTTTTATAGAATTAATTATATATGTAGAATTGGATTGGTGGAATTAGACATATCTTAACCAAACCCTTTGCATGGGCTCGCCGTGCATTTGTATGGTCTGGCGAAGCTTACTTGTCTTATAGTTTAGCTGCTTTATCTGTTTTTGGTTTTAGCTATAGATATGTCAAAAGCAGGTCTGGTTAGTGGTTACACCTTTTCCTAATCCTAAATAGAATGTAAGGACATAGAGATTTCTATTTAGACAAGGTATCCTATTTCCAGAGGCTTGAATGACCCCCTCTCACAATAAACATATCCTACGTTGTCTCTGGCTTTACTTGTACCTTTTTCCTGATATGACATCAAACCCACATTGTATTTGGTGGTAATTGGAATTTGTGTCAGCTAGGGTGGTGTTACTACCATAGTAAATGAATTGATTGCATCACACTTATTTTTCTTGGAAAGCAATGAAGCAGTTTCCAGATTGTATTGCTGTAGCATCATTTTTTTGCATTCCGTGCAGGTATTCCTAACGGTGGTGTGGATACGGTTACAGAACATCCACCTACTGTAGATAATTACCAGACAAGTAATAATGGCTCTGAATGGGTTGAGCTATTTGTCAGAGAGATGACAAATGCTTCTGACATAGATGATGCACGGGCTCGTGCGTCAAGAGCTTTGGAGGCTTTGGAGAAATCGATTGTAGAGCGTGCAGGAGCTGAAGCTACACAGAACCTGCATAAGGTACCCATGCGCTACTCACTACAACTTTTGGTTCCCTGTAGTATTGTCTAATTTGCAGAACGATAATAGTGATTGATTTTCCTTTGTGGGATAGGAAAACATGATGCTCAAGGAGCAACTGACTGTTGTTCTGCGAGAGAATGCTGTGCTGAAGCGGGCAGTTGCCATTCAACATGAGCGCCAAAAGGAGTTTGACGAGAGGTCTCACGAGGTCCAGAGCTTGAAGCAACTTGTTTTGCAGTACCAGGAGCAAGTTAGGACTCTGGAGGTGATATTCCTAGTCCCGTCTTCAACTATGCTTCTTTTCCTGTTGTGATATATCAACTGAAGAAACGTTTGGGGTCTGTGACCATACATTTGCAGATAAACAACTATGCACTCACAATGCACCTCAAGCAGGCTCAGCAGAACAGCTCCATACCTGGGCGTTTCAACCCGGATGTCTTCTAAGCATAGCTGCTGAACTGTCTGCCCCAGATTAATAACATATGAAGATATTCTGTTTTACAAACTACCCCTGAAATGGGGATACGGGATAGGTGGATTCACCGCCCATGGGTCCAAAATTTTCCACTTACAGTTTGATTTAAACGTGTTGCTTTCATGCAATTAATTGGCTACCAAATATATTGTGTCTTTCCATTTTTCCGGGTATGGTTTATTTGATCCATGGCTTACATATTCGTCAGAGAAAGATTGCTATATCTCGTTGTAGGTCATTTTTTTTGTAGAAAATGGAAAAAAGTTTGGTCCCTACGACCGCACTTAGCCAAGTTCTTACAAGCTGTCACAAGATTTTTTAGCTAGTTATTAGTTCAAACGAACCACGATTTTCTTGGATTGTAGTCCCACGAGCAGTGCTAGCATATGCTCATTTAACCTTAGCTGGTTTCAATTTCACATAGCATTTCAATTCCTCTTCTAAGGGTTATGGGTTCACCCCATAGCAAGGTTCATCCTATTATTACATGTTCATATGGGCGGAATCGAGCAGAAAGGAGTGGAATCAGACAGAAAAGGGGAGATAGTGAAGTGAAATGCCGTGAAGCGGATATCATCCATAGGTTTTCTTGAGTTTAAGGCGTAAACATGTCGGTCATCTAGGCTAGTCTAGGAAGGTAAATGTCACACAAAGAATGCATAAGCGAAAGTATGCAGTAAGTAAAGAACTTGTCAGAGAGGGCAAACTTCGAAGATAAGGCAATCTATCCTGTGGTATTGGTTCTATAAAAGCAATTTCTAGTCCATGTCGGAGCTCAACCAAGGTACACTACCGGTCAACAAACCTTCCTCACATGTTGCACTCGCCACCTAAGTCTCCCGTCAACTAAGGCACGCCGTAAACCACATTGGCTCACCACCCACTCTTTCGGTTAGCTTAGTGTCGTCTTCGCTAAAGATTTTCACCACCAAAGTAGGGTCTCCTCGTCCCCTTATACAAGTCGTTGTTGCTCCAAACCAAGCACAGAGGATCGACACCAGATGGCCACCATGGCCTTCGCTAGAAGGTCACAAAGACCTCAAGTGCTCTGACTCATCAAGATTACAATGGCATAATAGCCAAATATCTCAAAACCCTCAAGCTCTAAGGCCTAAACAAGCACTAGTCACTCTAATTGCTCTAATGATGCCTTTGATATAATCACTAAGCTATCATATGAGGTTGCAACTATAGCATACTCCTTAATCTTCTATAGTCTCCCACCCTTGAACGCCGATTGGAGCATATAAATAGCCCCAAGAAAATCTACTAGATGTTGCTCCAACGATCACATTGGATTATCTAAAAGCTTATTCTCTAAATAAATTCAAATATAAGCTCTCTCTTCAATAATCCACATTACCACCTTCATTTAAAAACTGATTCCAATGTGTAGAGTTTGGCATCCTTGCTTTGAATTTGAGTTTGACGTGTAGAGTTTTGTGATATATAAACCTAGTGAGAATGTTAAAAATAATCCTCAGTACCTCATAGCCACCTTCATTTAGACTTAAATACTCCATTCGATTTAGTTTATAAGACGTAATATGATATGACGCGGTCTCTTAAAGTACATTTTGACTATTTATGTTATTGTAAACTTATAATTATTGGATATATTATATTTAATTACAAATCTAATAGTGTCAAGTTTGTACTACAACAGTTACAATTTTGTTGACCAAACTATTGGTCACAGATTGTGCACCTTATACGCTGAATTGGAGGAAGTATATTGGTAGATGTGGCATTTGTATTCTTGCATCGATTATACGAGTCGGTGTGTTTGTTTTATCTCAATCTTTAAGAGGTTGAATCTTTTATCAGGAACCGAAACAAATACTAGTCAGCCTTTTTTTAATAATAACAGGAAACCTTCACCTCTACTCCAAAATCCCAAGCATTCAGAAAAATCTACACATTAGGAACAGGAACGCGTACGGTGGCTTGCAGCCACAGGTCGTTCTTCCTCCTCGCCGTGATCCCGAGCCCTTCGGCCATGTCCAGTTCCTCCGGCGCAGCGCCACCGGGGAGCGCCCAGTCGAAGTGGAAGAGGAGGCTAGCGAGACCGAGCTCCATGACGGCGAGGCCAAGTGCTATGCCGGGGCAGATCCTCCGTCCGGCGCCGAACGGCACGAACTCGAAGTCCGTGCCCCTGAAGTCCACCTCCGCCCTGGCGCCGCCGTCCTCGAACCTCTCCGGCCTGAACTCCTCGGCGTCGGGGCCCCAGCTCGCGGCGTCCCGGCCTATCGCCCAAGCGTTGACCAGCACCATGGCACCCCTGGGCACGTCGTACCCGAGGACGCCGCGCGTCTCCTCCTGGCACTCACGCGGGAGGAGCAGCGGCACTGCAGCGTGCAGACGCAGAGTCTCCTTAATGACCAGCTGCAGGTAATGCATCTTTGGCAGAGCGTCCTCCGGCACGCTGTTTTGGCCGGCGAGCACGCGACGCACTTCGGCCTGCGCCTTGCGCAGCGCCGCCGGGTGCCGCATCAGCTCCGCCATGGCCCACTGCAGCGTCGTCGACGTCGTCTCGCTCCCCGCGCTGAAAAGATCCTAAGTGCACGACGCCCCGTCCGAAAAATACAATCTTGTCAATGTCGTCGGAGTGACGATCGTCGAACACACTGCAAAAGGGGACGTAATTTCATCGAACACGTTGGGAGAGAGAGCTGAGCTTACGATGATCACGGCGCGGATGGTGCCCATGTCGAGGGGGGCCTGCAGGCCACCGTCCTTCTGGATTCTCAGCAGCACGTCAAGGAGGTCGTCCTCGTCGTTTCCAGCACCGGCCGCCCGCTTCTCCTGGTGCTCCGCGATGACGCCGTCCATGAGCCGTGTCATCTCGCGGTGGTGCGCTTCCGCGGCGCGCGCCGCCCCGCTGAACGCTCGCGCGAGCCTGGACGATGGGAACACGTCGGCGAGGCTGAACCCGGCGGCCACCCTGACGCCCTCGTCCAGCTTCTCGAGGAACGCGTCGCGGTCCCTGATCTGGCCGCCCACCACGGCGCGCACGACCGCGTCGGTGACGTACGTGGCGAGGAGGGCGCTGACGTTCACGGGCTTCGACAACGACGACGCCGACGCCGACGCGACGGACGCGACGAGGCTGGCGGCCTCGGCCTCGCGCCCACGGCGGAGGGACCGCACGCGCCGCGCGCTGAGCAGCTCGGTGACACAGAGCTTGCGGAGCAGGCGCCAGTGCTCGCCGTGCGGAGCGAACGCGACGCCGAGGCCGTCCCGGGTGAGCTCCCGGAGGGTGGCGGTCCGGGGCCGCGTCGCGAACGCGGCGTCGTGTGTCCTCATGACCTCCCGGGCCGCGTCGGGCGACGACGCCACGACGACGGGGAGCTCGCCTAGGCGGAGCAGCATGAGCGGGCCGTGCCGCCTCGCCAGGTCACGCATGGCGCGGTGCGGGAGCGCGCCCACGAGGTGGTGCAGGCTGCCGATGACCGGGAGCTGCCATGGGCCGGGAGGCGGTTTATTGCCGCGGTTGCGTCGCCGGAGCTTGATGGCGATGAGCGGCAGCAGCAGGATAGTTGCCCATAAGAGGTAATGGTAGGATGAATGGAGTTCTTGGTCCATGATTTCGGTTGCATCTCTGATTGTTCCTCGAGGTCTAGTAGTGTACATAGTAGAGCAGAGTTCGTTCAAGTGTAGTGCTAAGACGATTCTAGTCGGCAAAACAAAATTCCATGAAATGAGATGCCGCGTGGAACAGCATTTTTTAAGGAGTAGGTGAATGGCGAGCGAATTATACTATGGAGATCAGATCTAGAAGCAATGTGGTGTAAATAATGTCCACGGAGAAGATAAAACGACGCCGAATAAAAATACAAATACAAATTGTTTATTATGTGCTCCAATGTTAAAGGCGCTTATAGTTGGTTGCTAGCTACCAGAATCTTGCCATAATAAGTTTGGATTGGTGATGATGCTTCTTAGAAGAAGGTTGAAGCTGGATTTTTTCCATTATCTAAAAAAACGCTAGTTGCTAGCTGTAATTCAAAACCCATAAGCGCCCATCAAAACATCTCCACTGGTGCTGGCTACCAATTCTCAACAAATCATATTTGGGACTGAGTACTTCCGGCTTGATGGGGAACGGTCTCAATTCGATCAATAATTTAAAACAAATGGTGCATGAATATTTGAACTCTGTCAAATTTTGCTCACTTGCATCTAGAACAACTATAATCTGAAGAGAATCCACACAAACTAATTGCAACACGTAAACATGTCCTTTCTTTCATTGTCTCCCTCTACAGACAATCCAGACTAACATAAACTAATTGCAACACCACATGGACATGTCCTTTCTTTGGTCATCTTTCTTCTCCTTAGCTGGAAGAGAGAGAAAGATATTTTGCAGTCTCAGGATCTTGTGGATTAAGCTCCAAGCTTGACTCGTAAGTTGTAGCAGCAGTATAATTAGAGGACATGTCCTTTCTGACAACCGTATCGATTAGAAGACATCTGGATTGCGATGCCAATAGGTGTTTCTGCATTGGTTCACATTTTGAAGATGGAATGACAAGGCATTGTTCTTCTCCTGGATGGTAAGGATGAGAAGGTTAGTACTAGTAGGTAGATAAAATACAGGTTAAGCATTATAGCAATGATTTCACAGAACCTACCTCTAACGCCTTTATCTGCTTCTGGTACTTCTCGAGAATCTGGTTGAACTGAGATAGCTCCTGCACCATCTCTTGATACTCCTTGAGTCGGTTGTGCTGTATGAGGAATGCACGCTTCAGAACGCCGTTCTGGTGGAGCAGGGATCCCAGCATCTGCTTCACTATCTTGTGCTCCTGGATTGACAACAATAATTCAGGTCAGCTTGGAAGGAAGGAGATAAGCATTATTGAACATGGTTCATAATAATATAATAAAGAATCATTTAACTTTAGGCAATCTTGATACCTTGTTCACTTTGCTCTTTTCATCTGGGCTACTCCTGGCAGCAGATTTTTCCAACAGGTTGAGTATCTTGAAGGCGCGATTCTTGGCATCAGTCAAATCCGAAGCAGAGGACATCTCCTTGACAATGAGCTCAGCCCATCCAGAGCAATTGGTGGGAATGGTTTCCACTGTCAGGTCAACTGCAATAGCCATTGATGCAGTAAGGTTTATGTTAACGGTAGCTGATTTAATTTAAATGATTAAATAAATTTGGTTGCATGAAAATATATTCAGATATTAAACATGGCTTCGTACCATCAGATTCAGATAGGATGCTATCGCCTTCCTCGTTGTCAGATGGAACATGGTTTATGGCAGAAGCAGATTCTGTGCTTCTTTGTGCCAAATAATCTTTGTATGCTTTGATTGCAGCATCCAAGACATTTCCTGACGCTTGTAGATAGTTTTGTAGAACCTGTAAATTAAGGAAAAAAATGATTTTAGGTGCACAAATCCTTACCAGTACCAATTTATGTAGGATAAGAAAACACATGACTGAAGATATTCATTGGTACAGTACTGTAGTACCAATTGGTAAGGACACCAATTTATGTTTCGATGCACATCGATTGAAATCCAAAAGACAACAGAATCTTCGAAGTCAAGTTTATTAGATAGTATATTGTTAATGATGTCACGGTAGCTAATTGCAGGACCTTGTTGGCTTGACCTCTGGCCTATCGGCGTACTCTAAGCCTGTTCGCCGTGATGGATTATTAGGACTAACAAACAATCCATGTATCAAATAAACTTGGTCGTTAAACGCACACGTATGCGTACGTATATGGACGCACCTGCGGCTCCTCGCCGGGGAAGATGAGATGGAGCGCCTCGACCGGGTCGAACTCGAGCGGGAAGCTGAGGCCGAGGTCCGCGGCGACAATCGACGACGAGCACCGGCCCCGCTTGGTATGCAGGAGCGGCAGGTCGGCGGCGGGGAACGAGAAGGGGTCGTCGAGGAAGGCGGCTTCCGTCCCTCGCTTCCGGCTTGCCACGGCTGTCGCCGCCATGAGAGGGTGGATGTAGTAGGGATAGGGTTCCGACCGCGAGCTCCTTGGATTTTTCGGATTGATGATTGAATTCAAGGTGAAGCGGAAGTTGTGGGAGTGATTTCACGGCCGCGCGCGGGGAGTGGATATATAGCGGTCGCGGCGGTCGGGTCGCGCGGAAGGCGAAGTCTTGGAGGACACGGCCGGGTTGCCGACTTGCCGTGCGATGGGACATCGACTCGATCGCGACCGTCCATGGGTCCCACCAGCTCGGACTTTTCGTGCATAACAACGGCACCGTCTCAGAGTTTCTTTTGGAATGCAGATCGGAGTTTCCTTTTTCCTAGACTACCAGATCGAGGCGTCCAAAGTTAAGAAAACCTATATGACGTCGCCTTTCTTCTCTCTTCCCTGTAGCCGACCAGCGAAGGCACGGACGCCATCGTGGCATCGTCCCGCCCGGCGGCGGCGCCACGACGTCGCGGACTAGCGAATCACGGGTGCGCCAGCAAACTGCGCCCCACATCGCGAGCATCCCCGTGCGCCGTGCGCGGCATGTACACCATGCCGTCGCCCCGGCGGCCCGGCATATCGCCGGCGGGTGGCATGCGAGCACCAGATCCGCCCGTTAGACATGTTGACCTGTTTCTGGTCCAGCCCAAGCCAGACATCAGCCCATCAGAGGCCCAGTTATCAAACAGCAACAGTACCACGTTAACGATCCGAACTGCGCGATGCATCAGCGCTTAGTCATCAGCCACGTCCCAGTGGGGTCTGCTTGTGGCCCCCAACCCACCATAATCAAACCTAACGTTGACCAAGTCAACGTTCAACGTTGAGTGTGGGATCTGCTGTGGGGCCCATTTGCCCGGCGACCGACACCGGCCATATAATTTTGCCAATCTATGGTTCTGCCACGTTTCATAACAAGTAGCATACCACGTGTCCATACTGATTACTGTTTTAGTAAAAAATGTTGGTGTTCAGAAGTTAGTAAATGGTAAAGCATATAATTTAAGCACAATTATCAAGAGAAACTAATATTCAGAAGTTAGTAAATGGTAAAGCATATAATTTAAGCACAATTAAGAAGAGAAACTAATATAAAAATATTACTGTAAATAGCCGGACAAGGCTTTCGGCCAGCACCGTCCACTTCACCCTGCATAAAGAAGCATAACCCACATGGTAACACCTGTTCTGTGAACAACACTACGCGTAGCCACCATAACCGCTGCGGCGGGGGGGAAGTCCGGATAGGACTCGGGCGGCGTGACGGAGGTCTTGACCCGCACCGCCAGACCGTGCCCGCCACATGCTCCAGGTTCGGCGAGGCCACGCGCCGAGAGGCCGGTGTCGAAGCCGGTCAGGAACACCCGCGTGGCCGGCGGCCCGCTCGGCCACGCCACGGCGAAGTTGTTGCGTCGGACCAGGGCGAGCCGCGGCTACTGCTCCCGACGACGGAGACGGAGGAGCACGCGCAGGCAGAACGAGGCGCAGGTGGCCAAGGGAGCTCCGTCCGGTCCCGCGGCCCCGCGTCGAGGAAGAAGACGGAGCTGCTGGTTCGTAAGGATGGCCAGGAGCATGCAGGCGGCTGACGCGGCGGGCCGGCTAAGCGCGCTGCGCCGGCTCCTCGCCGTGCTCCAGCCGCGCGGTCGTGCTCGCCCTGCTCCAGTCGTGCTCGCCGTGCTCCAGTCGTGCTCACCCTGCTCTGCTGTGCTCGCCGTGATGCCGTCGTGCTCGCCCTGCTCTGCTGTGCTCGCCGTGGTGCCGTCGTGCTCGCTCTGCCGTGTCCACCATGGTGCCACCATGCTCGTTCTGCTCGCCCTGCTCTGTCGTGTCCACCGTTGTGCTCGCTGCCCACCGCTTGTTCGAGAAAATGCCTAAAAGAGGGTAACCTTACCGACTTGCAGAAGAGGTAACCGTATCAAAATAAACCCAACCAAACACATCCTGTCCTGTCCTGTGCTGGCCAGACTTAGACAGCACAGTTAACCAAATACTCAGAAGTTGGCTCGGTAAGACTACCCAGGGTAAGATTCAGTCAGTGCGTGTTTAGCTGTCTGAAATTTGAAATTTGGGTTACTATAGCACTTTCGTTTTTATTTGGCAATTAGTGTTTAATCATGGATTAATTAGGTTCAAAACGTTTGTCTCGCAATTTCCAACCAAACTGTATAATTAATTTTTTTTCGTCTACATTTAATACTCCATGCACGTATCGCAAGATTCGATGAGATAACTACTATAACACTTTTTAGCAATTTGGGGTGGAAACTAAATGCGCGCTCAGGCTAAAAATTGGACAGCAAACCAAACACACCCTCCTAAGCGTTCGGCACTTGGGCTGAACTGCAGTCGTCGCTGGCCCGTGGGATCTGAACCTCGATCTGGACCCACCTGGCAATGACACCATCGAACTAGGCAAGCCGCAAAACCCACCTGTTGATGAGAAAACCATAGTCCGTTCGATCTATCCCGCATTTCTGCTGTCACCGACCACCAACCAAGGAGGCATGCCGCCGCCGCCGCCGGAGCTGATGGAGGAGCTCGTGGAGGAGGTCCTCCTCCGCCTCCCGCCGGAGGACCCCGCGAGCCTCGTCCGCAAGCTCTGGTGCCGCCTCGTCTGCGGCGCCGCGTTCCGCCGCAGGTTCCTCGAGGGCGCCCCCCCTTGCTCGGCGTGCTCTACCGCAAGGACGTGGTCACAGACACAGACACCTACTCCCTGCGTCGAATGCCGATGGCATACTTCGTCCCCACAACCTCCTTCCTCCCGGCGCGCGCTGCCGCCGGCCGCGGCCAATACGGCTGGTGCGCCGTCGATGCCCGCCACGGCCGCGTCCTGCTCTGGCGGAGCGCTCCTTCGAGTTATGGGCGGGCTGATCTCTCCGTCTGGGACCCCGTCACGAACGAGCAGCGAGACCTACCCGAGCCGCCGCTCTACCTGCACGGGTACTATCGCAGGTGGAACGCCGCCGTGACCTGCGCCGCCGCCGCCGCCGCCGGTGGCGACTGCGACCACCTCAACTGCCGCCAGGGACCTTTCTTGGTTGTCGTCATTGACATAAAGCCCCACAACATGTACTTGTCCGTCTACTCATCTGAGGCTGCTGCGTGGAGCAACGTAACCGTTTGTGAGCGCCCCACCGGCCCACCCCCAATTTCCTCACATCCTGAAGCCTGTGCCCGGCGTCCTCGTGCGGAGCGTGTTCTACTTGGTTTATCTTAACGACGAGATCGTGGAATACGACATGGCCACACGGGAAGTATCTATGGTTCGCCTACCACATGAGTCCGTCGTCTGACACGAAGCATTGTGCTCATGACTGATGATGATGGTGGGCTAGGATTTGCTGCCAACGTGAAGGACAAACTACAGCTATGGTCGAGGGTGGCTTGTCCAGATGGAGATGCAGGCTTTGTTCTAACTAGAGTCATTGATCTTCGGAAGGTGCTTCCTTCAGGTGTAGTCATCAAGAACTCAATTCAGGTGAATGGTTTCGTTGATGGTGGTGCTAGCCGAGTCCTGTTCATAAGGATGTCCGATGGGCTATACAGCATAGAGATAAATTGAGAACGAGCTCTAGCTCGATTGGCATGCGTTGCAGGTGTGCACGCTGCCCACCAGCGTTCGAATCTCAGGTTCGGAGCTGGTGTTCTCACCGGGATTTATTCCCATAATAACATTTCATTGAAGCCTCTCAACGCGTGGTGCCACAAGGAGACTGCGACGTACCCGTCGCCTACGCCTACAGAGCCTTCATGTTTCTGGTGATCTCTCAAGGACGCGTCTTCATATCTGTGTATAGTTGTAGGTCTGCTTGTGTACAAGTGGTGTGAGTGAGGTGTTCGTGTGTGTGGTGTAGGTGTGTGTCTGTATACATACATATGCTACAGCTGTATCCCGATGAGAGGTGTCAAAGCATAGAGATAAATTCTAGCAAGGTCAGGAAGGTAGCCAACTACTGTGGCAGCGACAAGGATGTTGTTCCTTACATAAGCTTCTGCACTCCAACCTCCAGGGTCCAGGTACAGCAGTACAACTTTGTTTGCTTATGATTTTCCGTACATTTAAAACATGTATTATGTTCCATACACTTGGTGCACAAGTGTTCCATACACTTTTGTATATGTGCTCCTACCTATTTTTTATGAACCATTGTTGAAATTGTAAAGACGGGGTTCCTGACAACTTATCTAAATCTAGGCTCATCAGTTAGGAAGGGATTGATCAGCAGGATGTCATGGAAACCAAAAGAATTAATAACCTACACTAGCTTCTACGCTCCAGAGAATTATTCTCGGCATGCTTATGCATAGCTGATGATCTCAAATGCCTGACAATGCCACTTAATAGCAGCATAGAAACAGGAATGAAAACAGAGTTATTTCTAGTTTATATGGAGGTCTGAATCTGTCGTATGTTTGTAGTTTTGCTTTTAAGTATCTGCGTGTAGTGAGTTATCTTGGGTTGTTTAGTTAACTGCTGAGTAACAAATGTTCAAGCAAACATTAATTTCTCAATTAGTTGATTCTCTCTGTTTTTTATTAAAAAAATGTCTATGTTTCTGCAGCACTAGGATGTGCCTCCAGGGGTGAGAAACCTAGGGCTGGTTCAGCAAATGCATCGAAGACTCAAGTTGTGGGCACACGGTCTTCAGAATTGAAATCAAATCTTGGAGTGACTATGCTTCCCCTTGCCTGAAATTACTGGTGCTCAAGAAAATGAGCATATTGAATTGCTGTAATTTTCATATATGTCATTTTACGGCTGATATACTCCGATAGTTTGGTTAAGTTCTGTGGCTGAAAATGACTGTATTACTGCTAAACTTATTTACTGAATCAATACAATACTGCATTGTTGATTTTTATATTTTTCTTGTTCTTTTACCATGGAAAATTTGTATCCATAGTGGAAAGAAAGTCCATAGAAATATGGTTCTTGCCAGCTCTAGTCAATGTGTCATGACTTGAGTATATCACCACTTAGGTTATCAGATTGATTCTACAACTCTGTTAACTAATTGATGAGTTAACTAGTTGATTCTACAACTTTGTTAAGTAGTTATATGATTCATATAATAAGATTTCACGATTCTAGTAGTTATCATTCTAGTTTTGATGCGATTTCAAGTAACAACTTTGTTTGGTTTGAGGTCATTGTTGCCGAAGACACCAATAACAAATTGCCAGCTCATGATCCATGTTGGTTTGATCCAATGATCTGCAAGATGATGTTAAACGTGAAGTCCAAGCTGGAAAACTATTTTCACCATTGTACACCTCTGTCCTGCTTTTGAAACCAGAAAATTCCCGAATTTCATGCGGAGACGTGCTCTCATGCTCTGAAAAACAGAAAATGCCGATATTCACACGCATGCAACCGCACAAACATGAATCCAAGGATCTGGCTCATCGATGCGATGAAACACAAACACCCATACACTACTTACGCCACAGAACTGATTATTACAGTAGCGTTGCTGATAACATAGCAGATGCTATGCCGCTGCTCGCTGGTGGTTACATCGAGGCCATAACAAGCTGTGCGAGGCTTACAACTCCAAGTAGAAACGTAACTGTCGCAGCTCAGGATACGGGAATGGTCATTAGCCCATTACATCAGGAAGAAAGGCGAGGCATAACGAGAGGCCAAGTTGCTTCGGTGCATGTTGAAGCCCCGCAGGCGCTCCAGATTCATCACGTCAGAGTGGTCGACAAAGAGATTTACCTACATAAGCCCGACACTTGTCAAAACTTTGGGATCAAATGAACCACGAGAAACAATGGTATCAGCATTGCTCAGCTTGAGTTTATTCAGGGGGGAGAGGAGTCAGTACCCTTGGGCCATATCGTCTGACAAACCACTCTGAGGTGTTGGGGTTGGAAGCTTCAAACATGGTTTTATCAAGCCCGAGCCGGCCTACAATCTTGGCGACGATGTCTGTCCTCAGAGATTCAGCACGCTGGCAAACATCATCGGCGTCGATCATGATCATATCTGCGCCTGCTTCCAAGCATCTCTCTGCCCTCCTAATCAGCAGGTCAACATCTTCAACTCTTTCTGCAAGAGTGGACACCAAACACACATGTTCTGAGCAAAAAAAAGGAATTTGATTTTGCCATACTATAGCTTAGAAAAAATGGCGTAGCATAGTGTGCAAGGCTGTGAACTGTGATAACAAAAGACAATGGTGGCAAAAACGGCTAAATTATGAATGTTGAATGAAAAAACGCAACACATTCAAGCAGTTAGTTAAACGAACCGTCTAACTGACCATTGTTCAGTATAAGAGCTGTTGCTTTGTGCAAACATTATTCAGTACTCAGTATGATAGGAGTTAACTAGGGTCATACCAATCACAGTGTGTATAATAAATGTTGAAAAGACACCCCTGTTTGGTTTACCTGAGGTCTTCTCCTTGACCGGAGCTATGTACGCCCCAAAGGCCCTATCACGAGATGCTGGAATATCAGAACTGTCAAACTTCACTGAAAACATTGGCTTTGCCCTCAAACCACTACTCTTGATGAGGCGGACTAGCCTCAACAGAGCTTCTTCAGGGAGGTTGAGAGATCCAGCATTCAGCTCAATTGTGTCAAACCCTAAGGCCTTGCATTCCTGAAGTGGAATACTCATGTCATGTGCTACTCGGAAGTGATTTCACACATTGTTTTCAAACTGTCACAAAATTACATAACCATAACAGATGCGCATACCTCTACAGTCTACATATTGCTTGAAAGAAGAGGGTCCTTGATGCAGCAAATGCTCTGCCCAATCACCTGTGCTCACATAAATGTCATGCTTATGTGCTAGATCAGTGATCTCTCTAACCAACTCCTTTCCCATCAAACTATGGCATCCTCGAGAAAACTTCAAACCATCAACAAATGGACTTACAGAATCCAATATTTCCTGAAATAATAAAAAGAAAATGTTTGGCTTGAAGTGTCAGTAATGGTTAGGATGGTGAAAAAAGAGAGGAAAATATACAGCAGTCATTTAAGCATAACCACCCAGTGCCTGCAAAAACCAGTAAATAGCTATTGATATTCGTTCCTATGGTGAACTGTACTATTACTGTCTATGTCCAATCCCCCCGGGGGGTCTTTAAAAACAGCTGGGGACTAGTTATTCCTTGCTAAAATCAAAATCCAAGGAGTAATCTACACTTCATTGTGCCTCGATCACATAACAGCCTAGATGCTGGATAAATATAAAAACACCAGTACAATTAGCATGAATCGGCTATTTCGGTTCGAAAATTTGGCAACGCCCACGACGATCACATTCTGAAACTACTCATATGGTTTCAATCCAAGCACTAGTATGAATCTATTATAGAGACTAATTAACCATCGCACGCGTCTTTCACCGAAACAAACACGCCGTATTCGCATTCCACGGAAACTGAATCGCACTCCAAGTCCCAACTAGAATACGCCCAATCCAGGCATCCAGCTCGGCACAACACAACACCAAACGAATCAGAGCAGAGCACACGCAGCGCCCAAAACAGGGGTGGCAGACTGGCAGCTGTGAGCCGGAGGCGAACCTGGAGCGCCTGGTTTGCGGGGCGGAAGGAGTAGAAGGGGCTCCGCATCTCCGTCACCCCGTACCGCCGCGGCTTCTCCGGCCGGTCGTCCTCCTCGTCCTCGTTGCCGTAGCCGTAGCCCTGCAGCGACAGAGCCACCACCTCCACCCCCTCATCGTCGCCGTCGCCGTCCACTCTCTTGCTCAGTTGCGCGCGCACTTTTTACTAATAGGTTGCTACAGGGTGCAAATATCAGGACCGATGAACTAGTCATTGATGGTTGTAACAGGGGATTTTTGAATTACATGGCCAACAAATTCAACAGAGGCTATGATGCCTTTGATCTTTGTGACAAGGAATCTTTGAACTTTGGCATCCAGAAACTGAAGATAACAAACTCTAAGGATTTTGGTCTTGAATATGTGCCGTGCATTCCATCACTACAGGAGCTTCAAATTGATTGCATCAACGTGATTCATAATCATGGTAAACTGAAAAATCTAAAAGAAATGGATAAATTGGAGAAAATTACTTTATCATCACGGGTGAGTTGCTTGTACCCAGACGTAGGGGAAGGTCTATTATTGGCTATTCCTCACATTCAATATATCAAGATTAATGAGGTAATTTCTCTTGGCTGTGCTTCGGTTCTGTTATTTTAGAAATGAAGGAGTGAAAAGTAGGCAAGATGTGTGTATGCAAGCAAGATAGAATGTATATATCTTATTCTTCGTCCCTGTTTGGTTTTATACCATAGTTGAGTAGTCCTTATAATTGTTTATTGTTTTGAAAAGTGCAATTTGTTTCTAAAATGCCCAACAATTAGAAATCACACAAGTGACCTCATTGTAGCAATGATATACATCCTACTTCGAAATTAGATGTTCTAAAATATATGGCACTTGGTCTTGTGCACTAACATGTAATATTTACACTATGTACAACACACATGGCGAGTTCCGTGGAATTTGGAGTCCAATTGCTAATTTATTTAGAGGGGAGGAAACAAGATTGATTGTGGAATGTGAAGGGATGGCGGCGGCCCTGCTGCGCCAATCCTCCGACGCTGCATGGTGTGGCAGGAACTTGTCTAGTCAACATGCCTCGCCAACATGTTAGATTTGCCCAACAAATGTGGTGTGGCAACGTTGTTTGTCGCACCATGTGGGCTACACAGGCAAAAAGGTTAGATATGGGAATGCTTTTTTAGGGTAGGTTAATTTTAATTTTTTTAAAAAAGGTTTAAAACTGAAAAATAATCTGCCAAATTTTAAGATCGACAAAGTCACCATATCTGATGACGGTCATGTCATTTACCACTAAAAAAGTGGGACTAAACGAAAATAAAAAAATATGAACACCCATACTAAGGAATTTGAACATAGGTTGACAAAATTTACCACCAAAAAAACCTATTAATTAATAACCATTCCTATGTGATATTATTTTGAACACATTTGAAAGCTGCCTTCATGCTTGCCTAGTTTCCTGTGTGATCGATCAATCCTATAACTAAAAGAAAAACACACTATGCATCTACATGCATCGGCGTCACTCTATATTTTCTATTCCATGGTTAAACTCATTGGGAACCCCTAATAAGCATCCACTAAACAGATCACACCCTCTTGTTTGTGCATGTGTATAGCTTGAGTTAGTTTTCTATATATTGATAATGATAGAAGTGAATTATTTACAAGCATATTGGAGTACTTGGGTAAGTTTTTTTTATAGTGGTAGACATTAGGTAACTCAGATGTAAATTTAGATATTTATCTAGATTATTCTTAATAATGATGAAAATGGATAATTTACATGCAAATGGAGATTATTTTTACTTTAGACTATTTTCCATAATGGCACAAGAGTACGATTAGGGGGTTACTATAGATTATTTTCACAATAGTTGAGGTTGATTATTTAAAAATAAATTAATGTGGTTATTTTAGAATATTTTTATAACAGTAGAGGTGGATAATTTCTTAGAAAATAGAATAGAGATAACTACAATTATTGATACAATACTGAACTAATAATAGCATATGGCATAATGTTTCTATATTTTATGAGTTTTTTAAGGATTTTTTCCTTGTAGTGTGCCTCGTAGGGATCCACGGGGGCTAAAGTTTAGCCCACTTCTTTTAGTCATCTTTCAGCCCTCACGGATCCAAATAGGAGGGCTAAAAGTGGGGGTTAAACTTTAGCCCACCCCTTTTCCATTAGCCCCTCCGCTAAAGAGAGCTAAAAGTGGTCCTATGGGGCAAAAGACGCATATTACCCTCACCCATCTCTATGCATGGTTGTGCATGGGTATTAATTAGGAGCAAATGGGTCATAATATGGTACATGGGGCTAATTTTTAGCCCCTGGATCCAAATAACCTCATCGGCTAAACTTTATCCCCTTCATTCTAAGGGCTAATCTTTAGCTTTAGGCTAAAGTTTAGCTCTATGGATCCAAACAGGGCCTAAGGTCTCGAATCCTCCGGATTTTGAGAATCTGGATAGGAGAAATCTCACAATCCTAGCATCTCATCCAAACGGCCTAGATTTTAGAGGGATTTTAACTCACAGATTTTTAGAACATCGAAATCCAGTAAAACTGTTAGGATTCTTTTTATCCGGATTCTCAGAATCTCTTGGGATTCAAACGATGCCTAATTTGCTGCTCTGCAAGGACCTCCTCTTAGTAAGAAGTGAGGGCATATTTGGCATAGCTTTATCTTGGAGATCCATTTTAGATGTAGTTTGTAGATTTAATTAGTGTGTGTATATGCGTACATTAGCAAACGTTCCTGTGCGTTGCTTCGGGAACCCAATACGTATAGGAATCGGACTCTATATCATCACTAGACGCTAGTTGTTCTAACTCGTATGAGTATGAATCATAAGTCTGGGTCACATATAAGATAAGGAGAGCATGACCCAATATATTTTAGAACCGAACTCTGTCTCGATCATCGCTAAACGTGAGTTGTTCTAATTTATATGATCAGGGGTCATGATTCCAAGTCACATACGAGACACAGATGACGTGAGTGCAGTTTGAGGACTAAAAGAAGGGAGGGCGTGAGTGCAGTTTGAGGACTAAAAGAAGTGGGATGAAAGAAACTTTACACCATCCGAATAGTTAGGGCAAGATGGACAAAAAAATAGGGATGAAATTTTGGCTCTTTAATATTACTAGCAAAAATGCCCGTGTGTTGCAACCGGAGAAAAGAAAGGTATAACATTATCTAAAGCCTTGACATCTATGTGTTTTTTTGTCTTGAAAGCTATAGACCAATAGCACACAATTAATTAATGAAGAATATCACCAGTGAAGCAGTTTTTTTTACTTCAACTCTACAAGCAGCTCCAGTGATGGAGATGAAGCTATTTTGGTAAAACATTTGGTCAAACAACTCCTTATGGTAGGTAAAAACTGTAAAATGTCTATAATACCCTTTCTTTTCTTTTCTTTCTTTTTTTATCTACTTTTTCTTTTTTTCTCTTCTTTCCTATCATTATCTGCTAGCCCGAAGTCACGAGGCGACATCTAGTTGCTCCCAAGGCCTCTTCGGACGCCTCTGTTTCTTCAGATTTGTTGGCAACACATTGAGAGTGTAGCCAACGTCGGTGTGGTCGCGTTGCCAGTGCGAATGGCTCGTACCCTGCAAGTAAATGATATGCACGATTACTTATAATCTTTATGATCATTAGTTCATAGAGCCTACGTATTTAAAGAAACTATCTTTGTTACTACCTGTGAGCTCCTTGGGTATCAAGCGGGGCACCACCTAGCTGAGACATGCCGATCTCATCCTACGGCCAATCGTCCCACTGGTGGTGCTGTCTGCGGAAGTCCGGGGGGTCGTCGTCATCGTCATCCTCGTCGTCCTCGGTTGCAGGGTTCTTCCCGGCGCTATGATGTGGTGGTATACGCACTGCGAAAGTTGCACCTGTCACCGGCTGAGAAGAGCCGGCTGGTGTCCTCAAAGAGCTAGAAGACGTGCCACCCGACCGCACCGGGACTACCGATTCAACCCAAGGAGTGTCCATGCAGCTCAGCTTCTGAGCTAGCTTCCTGCAGCTCCGCTTCACCTTCTGCATAAATAGACGTTAAAGTTAGTGTATTTCCCAAACGCATATACACTAAAGATACATTTTCGGAACGGACAAGTTTATGTTTACCTCCACAAAAGCCTCGAGAACGCCTGACCCCTGCCCTCTAGACTCGTGAAGCCGAAACGCTGTTTCGTTGGACATCCTTGATAATTGTGTCGCCTATGTACAAAAACACGGTTGGATAGTTTTAGTACACATACTTAATACCAAATGGATAACAAATTGTATCATTCAAGTATCTTACCACGTATCTTTGAAGCGGGGCTCTCTGTAGTTGTGTGTCCTCCCTAGTGGACATGTCGTACACATCTTCGATCACATCTTCCTCTGAGTCCTCGTCAATCGCCTCCTCAGTATACGGGGGCTTGATATGTGTCCTCGTAGACCTGTAAAGCCACCGCAGGTACTCGTCGAAGGTGTGCTGGTCGTGTGGGGGACCCGCATGGACCGGCTGCCGTTCCCTGTTCTGCCACAAGTGGATGTACGCGTTGTGTGTCACGCTCCAATCCTTGGTCTTGTATCTCTTCCTATGGTCATACCTGCAACAAAATAATGTTAGTTATACCACACACACATATGAATTGTAGCTTTGTTATTAATCGATAACGCACCCGTGCAATTCTTGGTTGGTGGAGTAAAGCGGTGGTGGGTAGCCTGTCATTCTTTCAAACTGTCTGCAGACCCTGATGGACAAGTGAATCTCGACCACATGGAAGAAAATAAGAGGGACGTTGCAGCGATACTCGTCTGACTTATCCCTAGTGATAGGACTTAGATAGTACTTGAGCTCCGGAGCATCCCAAGGACACCAATACACCTGAACATTTCGTAATTGAGTTAGATTGTGATATAGTGTACATTGAACAAGACACATGTTTGATAGTAAAGAGAGCATAACTTGGTGCTGTGTTAGGACGTCGAGACCGTCCGTGTACTCCGTGTACTTGCGTCTCGCATTCCCTCTAACTAACTCTACTTCTGTCCAGATATACAGAGCTGTAGGGAGTGTATCCTGCCCGTTCCATTGCTGCATTGAACATGATAATAAATTAGCCATTAATAATTTCATCATATGTAACTGCCTTGAAGAATATAGTGAACCGATGTACTTACCGGTAAACCAGTATTAAGGGGCCTCCCAACGGGCCATCGTTCCCAACACCAAACCTGGAGTAGGTAGAAACAACCCCAAGGTTCGCATACCCTGAGGTGCGACGGCAGGCAACGCATAGCTGTCGATACGTCCATGCCAGGACTGCGCTGCCCCAGCTATACGCCGCTATGTTCTCCCACGGCTGACGTAGTATGTCAAGAAAGATTTAGCTGATGGTGTTGCCCGAGACGTCTGGGAAGAGGAAAGCACCAAGGAAGTGCTAGAGCCACACTCTAGCGAACCTGTCGATCTGAGCCTCCTCAGCCTGTGGGTCCAAGTAATCAAATCGCTCTGTGATCCAAGACGATGAAACACCGGAACTTTTTCTAAAATTCACCAAAGAAAATGAGACCCGGTGGCTGCAGAAAAGCAATGCAAGTATTAAATAGGCTTGAATTGCTCACTTATTTTTCTTTGAAACCTCATCGTCCGGTGGAAGAAAGCCAGTGAACTGAGCCACCAGCTCTCTCCAGTGATCGTTGTCAACTATACCCATCACTGGAAGTCCTCCCATCCGAAGGCCAAAGATAGCCTTCACGTCCTGCATGGTCAAGGTCATCTCGCCGCAAGGTAGGTGGAACGTGTGGGTCTCGGGCCTTCACTTATTATAAGAATAGAGCGACTGTTAGTTGATTCAAATTTATTATAAGAATGTTTACGTACAAAGAAAGCACTCGCACCTGTCTATAGCTGCAGTAAGTAGTGCTGGATCAAGGGGCGAAATACCATAGTTGAGAACACGGACAAGCTCGAGGAAGCCGGCACGCCGTATATACGGCGCATAACGCTCGTCCCACTGGTGCGCCCTGGTGTGCGTGCGGGGCCTCAAAGGAGGCAAGGCCACCTCTGCGTCGGTGTCACTCAAGATGTGTGCTCGGTGCTGGTCGTCGTACTCCACCTCAAGA